GGAGTACCTAAGGACGGGTAATATATGTTAACAGATAAAGTTCATGGAACTCTTTTTACAGAATGCAATAGTCTGTCCATTGTATGAGTGTGTATGCTCGTAGGGATTGGGGGAAGGATATGTCAATTAAGTGTAGTATATACGTTTGGTTCTCAAACAACATGCATTGCTGCCTCTTTACCTGAGTTTTGACACCTTAATTTGACAGGAAGGGTTATACCAGAGAGTGTGGTTTACAGTTTTTTACCCTATTGCTTGATCTTCTCAGTGGCAAGCATATACCTCCAAGCCATGTGAGTTCTCTTTTCTGTCCTTGATCTCCATTGGTTGAAGTCTTGTCTGAAATCTTTCTATGGCAACTGAAGAAATGATTCAGACCGTGGATCTAAACTGCACCAAAGGATGGCCATAGGAGATAATTTAAAAGCTTAAAAATGCTGGATTGTGATCATCATTGCAGGCACTTGACCTTACGTGCTAAAAACTTTCCAATGCTAATGGACTCATGTCTGGAGAGTCAATTTTCAAATGACAATGAAACTGAATTAGTGCGGTTAGCCTCTCGATGTTTGCAGTATGAACCTCGTGAGAGGCCAAATGTGAAATCTCTTGTAACTGCTCTTACTCCGCTACAGAAGGAAACGGGGGTATGCTTGCGTTATTCCTCACTATCTTACTATCATATAGAGATCTAGCTAAGCTCTGTTACTATAAGTGATCTCTTTCAGAATTTTCTGGCAATGAAGTTGCTGGCATATAGGACCGTCCTTTGTAATTTTGTATGGTTTTTAATTACTACTAGCTTGAAGCTTTATGAAAGGGGTAAAGAAGTGTAACATCTCTTTCAAACATTGAGTGCTGAACTCAATTTCACTATTCTGCTATTCATTAGTACATGATTTATTGAATTAACCTTCACCCCCGAGAAAATTCTGTGTTACCTTTCTAACCTGCATCTTTTAATAGGTTCCATCACATGTTTTGCTGGGCATTTCAAATGAAACGACATCCTCAGAGCAGACAATTTACTAACGCCTCTGGGAGAAGCATGCTCAAGAATGGATCTTACTGCAATACATGAAATACTAGAGAAGATCGGATATACGGATGATGAGGCATTGCAAATGATGTAAGCAATCCATATATTTTATGTTGCTTTAAATCTGGGTCAAAAGAAAATAATTATAAGAATAATGAAGGGTTAGTTTATGCTTTGGTAGTTTCAGCATAAAAGCTAGAAGATGGCCTCGTTGCTAGTAGTTTTATCATTCAAACTGCTAGAAGTGGAGAATTGTTTTTTTAAATTCCTTACAAATTGTTTTATGCTAATTGGCATCGTATTTTGCTTTGTAGCTTTCTTTCCAATGTGGACAGATCAAATACAGGAGACCCTTAACTCAAAAAAACGTGTAGATGCTTCTTTCCGAGCAAAGGACTTCGGAACAGCCATTGAATGTTACACTCATGTAAGTCTTTTGTTTACAATTTGGCCATCTGCAGAAACATTTCATTTTCCTTGGTTACCTTTCAGATAAAGACTTGAACAATATGCCTAATAGTTTTACCAATGCTTTTGTCATAGTTCATTGATAGCGGGACGGTGGTATCGCCAACCGTGTTTGCAAGGCGCTGCTTGTGCTACTTGATGACTGACATGACACAAGAAGCCCTTGGAGATGCCATGCAAGCACAGGTAATATCTCCCGAGTGGCCGACAGCATTTTATCTCCAAGCTGCTGCTCTGTTCAGCCTCGGGATGGACAATGATGCCAAGGAAACCCTAAAAGATGGTGCAAACTTGGAAGCCAAAATTCATAGTAATTGAAAGTGTATCGGTCCTTTCCCCCCTTTCAAATATCCCTCGTGTCTCTAAGTCTTATGGCACCCTTTTGCATTATTTAATGATTGATCAAAGATTAGAGCAATGTAATCGGGATTATTTGCATTTAACAAGCAAGCATGTGTTGTTTCTCAAAAAAGCAATGGTTGTTTTATGGATGAAACAAGAACTCTTGATTTGCCGCTACAAGTACAGATAAATTGCTAATGTCAATTGCAGGGCTAGCTATGCTTTACTTGTAAACAGAATTACGAAGACGACGGTGTTTTACATTGGAGGCCGACCACCAGCACTGAGTATCTGGCCGATCATGCTATTCACCTAGAAAATATAGTGCGTATAAGAACCAAATGTCAGCCATTAAACTAAGAAACAGATACAAAGATCAAACAAATCTATAGGAAAAACATAGGAATCAAGCATAGATTGACCCAAACGTGAAAGCTGAAATATAGAACTTTCTGCAAAGTATATATAGGCATGCAACAGAAATACAGAATGTTCTTTATAGTTCATCTTAAGAATAAAACCAAAGGAAGCAATAAAAAAACTAGCATAAGCCATGATTGAAACTTCAATAAAACACAAATTAGAACATTATGAATAATTTGAAACTTAATCTTACCTGCCAATACTTAGAAACACAGCGATCGATGCAACTGTTTTCCCCCATGTTTAGCTCAGCCTCCTTGTACCTAAAGCAGAAATGTGTAATCATCGACGTCATTTCTTTAGGGGATAAGATTGACCGTATATACCATGTGCAAGCCGATTAAATAGGGAATGAAACAATAAGAAACGTGGTGTTCAGACTGCTAATACCTTTTGTCTACGCACTTGTTGAAACAAGTTTGTGCAAGCCTGAACGAAAATCATAAAAACAAGTTGAACCCAGAAAATCAAGTATTGGCAATAAAAGCTTACAAAGTAAAGGAAAATATTGTCACATTATCTAATAAGAAAGAAACAAGCAAGGCTATAGAAGTCCATTTTCAAATTCTGAACTAAGAAATTTTAGTTTCTAGGCAGATAATATTGAACATACAGGGAGTTCAAGAAGCAAAACGAAAGTTACATGTTCTTGTGATATCAATCTTGACATTTCTTGTTAACTTCCTACATGTACTACTAAACAAAGACCTATCTATTGGGAGAGACGAATTGATTTTGGATAAGGTTAATTTGGATCTAATCAGTAAGGATTTTAAAATTTTCACATCAAGGATCAATTCATTTTTAAAATTTTCAATCATTTTGGGTCTACTCAATTCTTGGCTCGGGTTGTTCTCGATACAGGTTATTCCGGTTTGAGTATTGGGTTTTTGGGTAAGATCATTTCAAATTCTGGTCAATTTAGGTTTGGATCATCTCGAATTACTTATTCAGGTTATTCTGGGTTCGATCAGGTTAGATTCAATCATGTCGGATTTGGGTTGGATGGATTCTGATTGTTAACTCTAATTAATAAAATCAAACTGGTCGAGTTCAGGTTGATCAGATCAGGTTTTCAAGTTCGGATCAGAATTGTATCGGTTCAAACTAAACATGTTCATTTAGGCAATTCTCTCTTACCTGTTGAAGAGTTCTACCCTATATTCCATCTCTGTTTCTGCCATGCCAAAGGCCTGCAAAGCGTTCAAAACATGAACTTCAAATCACCCAGATCGCATAAATGGTAAAAGACACCGATAAATACAATTAACAATTTTTCAACCAAAACCCAAAACGAAATAAACCTCAAAGAACCATTTCCAGTTAGTTCATAATAAACACCTTAATCCATTGAAACTATACATACACCCAATTACCTGAACAATCCAAACTCAATAAAACAAAAGGCCAAATCAATCAATAGAAATATTAAGTTTTTTCTTCATTAATTGATGCAGATCATTGTTTAAGAATTATGGGGAGTAGCAACAGCTAACCTGCTCTTTGTCTATTCCAGCTGGGATGTTGGCAGCCATTGAAACCCTGAGAAACAAACAAAGATCAACCTAAATTTAACCAGAAATATCAATGGGAAATATTTAAACAATATCAGAAATATGGGACTTTTAAAATTTTACTCACGAGATTTTTCTCTGATGGGAGAAAAGCTTTGTTTTTGTTAGGGTTTAAGGAATTGATGAAAAACAAGGAAATGGCAGATGAAACCCTCTTAGGCGTTAATCGTTATATTCAAATTAGGGTTTTAAGGTGACTCCGCGACGCAAAGAGGTCAAAGTATCTCCCAGGTCCTTGGTATTTGAGATTATATCATTTTAGTCCTTTTGTATTAAATGGATTCATTTAACCCTATATTATAGACATTAAATCAAAATTTGAGCAAGAACCAAGTGGTCTCTGTGATAAATAAATTTTTGTTATTCCTCGAGAACCCGGGTTCGAGCACCATAGATGTCAGAGGTGTGAACGTTCAATGTCGAGAGGTTGAGAGCTATCTTTGAGCAGGATATTGTCTTGTACTTACACCAGATTAATCAAAAAATAATCAAAATTTTCAAATACATTGAACAACCTCTGTGGTAAAAGAGAGTGTTGATCTCACTAGAAATCTTAGATTCAAGTAGTTGTGTCTGTAAAGTGTATGCGTTATCAAGAGGCTAAGAAAATTTTAATAGATACTAGTATCTTGTAACCACTTCATAGTTCATACTATTAAAAAAATAGTAATTCAAATTCTTTCTATTTTAAAATTGATTTAAATTAATATAATTATTATTAAATGGAACAATTTCTCTTTCTACTAATAAAATATTAGGTAAGATCAATTTGTTTACAGAGTTAACATTTATTATTTAGAGAATGGAAATTATTATTTAATAGAATTAATATTTTTATGGGCTTTATGGTTCTACAAATGATTTTTTTTTAATTTCAATTATGAACAAAAAAATTAATATTATCTTTTAAATAACAAATATTAACTTTGTAAAAAAAATAATTTTTATTTGTTTCTTTTTACTTTTAAAAATCTAAATTGGTTGATCTATTTATTATAAAAGAATGAACCGAAATCAATTTATAAAATAAAAGGACCAAATTAATATAATTAACAGAAGGATTAAATTGATACAAACGTAATGTACTGTTGAAAATTGAGGACAAGTCATTTTAAGTAAGGACTAAATTTGTAATTTGAAATTCTCTTGGTTCATTATAATCCTGTCACAACAGAACATCAAGGGGGGAAGGGGAACTTGTTGAAGCTTTGCAGGGTTTTGGAGGCAAATTTGTGAGGTAAGTCAGATTCTGTGTTGTTCTACCCCTTTTAATGTGCTTTCCTCATGATTATTTCGGCTAGATTTCTTCTTTTTGATCGTTATTTTTTCCTTTTCTTTCTGCAGGTTTTATAGATAAAAAAATCTGGGTGTAGTATTGGAATTTGAATAAAAGGAAACAATGGAACACGGGTCTTTCACCGATAATAGTGCTGCAACTTTTTCTTTGACTGATGAAGATCATACTCTAGCCAATTCTGTTAGGTTCACCTTGAATCAAGAGTCAGTTCAATCTCCCATGGTTTATCCTTTATTTTTCTTAATTGTTCTTGCTTGATTTATGATGGGTTTCCTTTGTTTTAAGTGATTATTTTGAAATTAAAAGCTGTAATTTTAATTCTGAATATGATGATGGTTTTCATTTGTTTTAACTTTTAAGTGATTATTTTGAAATTGAAAGCTACAATTTTGATTGTGCAGCCCAAGGGTAACATTTTCTGGGTACAGTATTCCTCATCCTTCACAAGCTCGAATTAATATTAGAGTTCAGACAACTGGTAACTCAATCCTCTACTCTATTCTCTTTCCAGCTTTTAATGGTTCATTGTTCATTGATTGTTCTGACAATCTATCTTTCCATTTTTCTGCTTTGAGATTCCTGGATGCCACTATGTTGTATGGATCAATTCTAGTTCCTTTTTTAGTTGCTCAGCTGGGCATGAACTGATTGATGTTTGCGACAGGTGAAGCAGCGAGTGAGGTGTTGAAAGATGCATGTCAAGATCTAATGCTGATGTGCAGGCATGTGAGGAGCACTTTTGACAAGGCTGTTGAAGATTTTAAAGCAAGCAATGCTGTGAAGGCCATGAAAATCGATTCAAAGGATAGTAGTGATTCAGAAGAGAGTGAATGAAATTAGTATATTTCTCATCTTAAAACTATCATGTGCTCGAGATATCATTAACTAAATCTGAATTAGTTCTTTTTTGGTATTCATATCGAAGCTTTGCGCTTGCTGTCTTTATTCGGCTAATTTTATAGCATAGAGTTTGAGAGTGCATGAAAGTTTTAAGCGCATAAAGCATTACCAAATCTGAAACTAACTATATGTTAAAAACGAGTTGAGAAGAATACAATAACCATGTTATTAGCATACAAGATTACAGGCAATGCATCAATCTACTTGAACTTCAGGCTTTGGGGCATTTTCTGTTGGTTTCATCGAGGTCGGAGTTATTTCTCCTGGTTTTGACGACTGCAGTATGGATATCCAACAGCTTGTGAACTCTGCTTATCTTTTTTGGAGCATCTGCAGCCGGCAAGCCCGCATGCAGGTAATGGCGGATCAAGAAATCTAATCTAATCGTATATGTTCTTCGTGTTATCGGTTATCATCACACTAAGACATTGCATATGCTCCATAATCAAATATAACAACAATACACAATACCATAATAGCCCATTCAATCTTCATATGCACATTTTGACCATCAACAAGAGCCAAGCTATCAAGGCATCTGTATCAACTGAGAGGCTTGAGCAGAGTTCAGCTTTTGGCCCATAAAATTCGTAGAAGACTAAGAAATCTAATCTCTGCTGAACTTTTTCCGACCTACGTCAACATTAAGATTGCCTCAGTAATCACTATACTACCATTAGGTTTGAACTTTAAACCAGAAGGTGACCATAAAATTGACTTATGATCTTAGTTAATATCTCGCAGTTCGATTAAAAGATACAATATGAATTGTTAGAGGTGAGCATTTGATTAAGTTGAATCGAGTCAAAAATTGAACTAATCAAGTTGATAAATGCTATTTTATAACTCCAATTTAAATTAAAAAAATTCAAGTCAAGTTGTTTGAAGTTCTATATAAATTTAATTGTAAATATTTATAATGTTATAACTTCAATTTAAATAGTTTTTTATAATTATATATATAGTATACATATAAATATTTCTTCATACTTTTTTATATTTTGTATATATATATATATATAATGAAGAGTTAAAAAAAACTAATTCAAATGAGCAAACAGGTTTTTTTTTACTGAATGAACTTTGTTTTTAATCAAATCATTATAAATATAAGATCTAAGGGATAAAATATCAAGAAAGATAGAACAAAAGCAACAAAAAGTTTCAAATTACAAACTTAGAAGAGAGTAGGGATACATATGATAAACTGAGCATGCTTTGCTGAAATAGCAAGCAAGGTACTGGAACTGTAGAACTCGGGAATGCCAAATACAAAAGGATCTCAAGCAAATTTGAAACATCATAAAATGCAACGGTTACAGAAAATTGTCCATTTCTTTCAGCAACAGGACCTGAATTATTCCTCCTCATACTCAGGTTCCTCTTCCTCGTACTCATCTTCATCAGCTGTCGCGTCTTGATACTGCTGATACTCAGAGACCAGATCATTCATGTTGCTCTCAGCCTCTGTAAACTCCATCTCATCCATGCCTTCTCCTGTGTACCAGTGCAAGAAAGCCTTCCTCCTAAACATAGCTGTAAACTGCTCGCTCACACGCCTAAACATCTCCTGTATGGATGTCGAATTGCCAATAAATGTCGATGCCATCTTGAGGCCCGTGGGTGGGATGTCACAAACCGTTGACTTCACATTGTTAGGAATCCACTCGACAAAGTAAGATGAGTTCTTGTTCTGGACATTCAACATTTGCTCATCCACTTCCTTAGTGCTCATTTTGCCACGGAACATGGCTGATGCAGTCAAGTATCGCCATGTCGTGGATCAGCAGCACACATCATGTTCTTTGCGTCCCACATTTGCTGAGTTAACTCAGGAACTGTCAGGGCTCGGTACTGTTGGGAGCCTCTCGAAGTGAGTGGAGCAAAACCCACCATAAAGAAGTGAAGCCGAGGAAATGGGATGAGATTCACAGCAAGTTTCCTAAGATCAGAGTTGAGCTGGCCAGGGAATCGTAAGCAGCATGTAACCCCAGACATTGTAGCAGATATCAAGTGATTCAAATCACCAACTGTCAAAGATCAGAAAGAAAACAACAAAAGGTAAGAACCTCGAGGATCCTAAACATAAATAAACAGATCTTAGATCTTACTAGCTCGATTTTAGATTTAGGTTAACTATTCTTAGTTGCGAAGAATCAGATCATATAGGCAGAAACCCACAAAAGCATAGAATTAACAGTACTAAAATTTCAATCAGAAGACATAGCGCTAAGCAAAATGAACAGATATCAAATTATTCAGATCAACAAAGATATAAGAGTTTCAATTATACCATGCTTTATAAACAGATCTTATTCTTACAAACTCGATTTGAAACTAAGGAGCTAAATCGAGGGAAGACTTACAGCTGGGAGTGGTAAGCTTCAGAGTCCTGAAACAGATGTCGTACAATGCCTCATTGTCGAGAACCATACATTCATCAGCATTTTCAACCAACTGATGAACAGACAAAGTAGCATTGTAAGGCTCCACGACGGTATCAGAGACCTTAGGAGATGGGAAAACAGAGAATGTCAACATCATCCTATCTGGGTATTCTTCCCTTATCTTCGATATCAAAAGAGTTCCCATTCCAGATCCAGTTCCTCCTCCCAAAGAATGACAAACCTGAAACCCTACAGAGAACAAAAAAAGCCCCATTTAACACCAATTATTAAACAATGAGTTGAACAATAAACAAGTTTCTCACCAGATTTATAATTTACCTTGAAGACAATCGCAATTTTCAGCCTCTTTCCGGACAACATCGAGTACAGAATCGATTAACTCAGCACCTTCGGTATAATGGCCTTTAGCCCAGTTGTTACCGGCGCCGGACTGGCCGAAAACGAAGTTGTCGGGTCGGAAGATCTGGCCAACAGGACCAGATCTGATGCTGTCCATGGTACCGGGCTCGAGATCCATGAGGACAGCACGAGGGACGAACCTACCACAACTTGCTTCGTTGTAGTAGACATTGATCCTCTCGAGTTGAAGATCTTGATCTCCTTGGTAACGACCGGTTGGATCTATGCCGTGCTCGGCGCAAACAACCTCCCAGAACTTGGCTCCGATTTGGTTGCCGCATTGGCCACCTTGAATGTGAAGGATCTCACGCATTTTCGATTATGGAGAAGAAACTAGAAAAATGAAAGGAACTAGAGGATGACAAAATGAGAGAGGTAAAATTCAAAATCAAAGTGGGAAGAGCCGGGTTTTTATAGAAATATATTTCATTTAGTATTGATCTAATTTTGATTTTAGAGTCTCTACTCTACCTAAATTTAAGATTTACTCCTTTTTACTTTTTGATCCCTCTAAAATTAAGTTATTGTTAAAAGTAACTTTTATGTTAAAACTATATTTTATTAGATTGAATTTTGTTTCTTATTGTTATTTCAAACGATCCGAGTCACCTGAAAATTAAATTAATAATATCAAACTGTTGTAAGTAAAGAAGATTAAACTTGAAGTTTTAGTATAATAGTGGGACTAAAATCAAATTAGACCCTTGTTCTGTCTTTTAATGATGATTTATCCCGGTCTACGGGGCTGTTGATAAGAGAAGGGAAAAGTTATTTAAAATTCAAAAATAGAAAGACAGAGAGGGATGAAAATAATTCAAATTAGGAGCGGATGCCGCCATCCTTCTCTCTACCTGCCAAGTGGCTGCCGCATGTTACCCTCCACTCATTTTCTTTTTATCGCTAACAATTTATGATACGGCACTATTATGAGAATAATATTTATTTTAATTCCAATAGAATTTAAATAATACTCTATTTAGTTGTAAAAATTACTTTCAAAAGACATATTTTGAAGGGTATCTTTAATAATTAATATTGACATCATTCAAATCAAAATAAAAGAAACGAAAATGAGATAAAACTTTAAACAAATTTTATTCAAAAAATAATAATAAGCACAGTACACGTTGGCTATACATATTTATACGAATTAAGTGACAACATCGATGCCTATACATAATGTATTTTCCAATCACTCAATGAATATATGTTTAAAAGATTATATTTAATATTTTAAAAATCTCTATATAAATAATGTAAGACTTAAGAATAGTACAACAAAAACTTATTAATCTTCGTTCTTAATTAGATTCGCATCAATACCCTAGTCAAAATAGTTTAAAAATTGAAATATCGATTATTCTATAAGATAACAATTATCTTTAACATAATAATATTTCATTTTATACTTTTAAAATTAATATTATCAAATAACTATCATAATTAACTTTAATTTTAATTTTAGTAATTACCACTACTAAATCTGATATAATATTATTACTTATAATAGTTTCAATAATAAAAATATACATACATCATTCATACTTTAATAATAAATATAATATAATTTCAAAATATTTGTATATTTGATAATCCACTTATAATACCTATATATTATTACCTAAATTATATTAACTTTTTTAATTTCAACCACTATTTTCATCAAACTTCATATAATCATTTAAATATAAATACAAAACAGGTTAAAAGATTCCAAGTGGAATTATAAGCTGTTTTTTCTTTCTTTCTAAAACTACATATAATCTACTACTAATATTATTTAACATTAAGTATAATTTAAACTTAAAAAATTGTACTTACATAAAAAAATGACAATTATCGGAAATTATGTTAATTTTCCTCCAATGGATGGTTATCAGCATATTTTCCACGTCAACTTTTTTAAGGATAAATTGCACAGTTAATCCATAAACTATTATTTTTATTCCAGTTTGATATCTAAATTTTATTTTTTTATAAAATCATACTTAACGTTTAGTTTAAGTTTTATTTTGATACCATCGGCCAACTATTGAGCCCACACGATCATTTGGAGACTGGACAAAATGAAAATCGCCCAACTTGCTGGGGGAAACTTCCCATTTAACATCCTCGTTTCGACATAAACACCAAAATCCAACTCTCCAAATATACATGTAAAATT